TGACTTTAGTGGTTGGTGTATATATTTGAATAGTAGTGGTATTACCTGGTTTTATTTGTAGGCATATGGATATTATCCTATCACAGACAGTGTTGTACTTCAAGACAGATCTTGAAATGTTCTTTTTAATGATGAATGTGATGCCATTCCTCTTCAGTTTTTAATTCCCAGCATACCAAACCATATGATTGTCTGATTAAAAATGGCCAATACCAGGCCATTTCAGCTTACTAGGATATCAATGTTATGCGTTCCATTTCATTTTTGATGACTTCCAATTGTCCTAGATTCATACTTAGTACATTCTATGATCCAGTTGTTAATGGATGTTTACAGCTGTTTCTCTTCATTTTGAGTTGTGCCCCATCAGCAAATGAAAGTCTCAAAGGATTCACTCCATTTGTGTTATCATAGTCAATTCTATTTTGAGGAGGCAGCTCTTCCCCAGTTGCATTTTGAGTGCTTCCAACCTAAAGGGCTCATCTTCTGGCACTATATCTTACAATATTCTGGTGTTCTGCATCATGTTTCCATACCATATTCAATATTCTGGTGATTTCTGATAGTGTTCCACTACTACTCATAAGGTTTTCAGTGACGAAATACAAAATAGTCAAAAAGTAGTCCATCTCTCCTTTGTCTTAGTCTGTCTTTGTCTGGAAGCTCAACTGAATTCTGTCCACCATGGGTAACCCTCTTGATATTTAAAATACTGGCAGCATAGCTCCCAGACTCACAGCAACACACAGGCCACCACAGTATGACAAACTGGCAGACGAGTTTTCAGGAACACAAAATTGACCCAATTTTTTTTTTTTTCTTTTTTTACATAGCATAGTGATTATGCACTTGGCTGCTAACTGAAAGCTCAGCAGTTCAAATCTACCAGCTGCTTTATGGGAGAAAGATTAGGCTTTCTGCTTCTGGAAAGATTTACTGCTTTGGAAACCCTTTAGAGGGTAACTATGAGTCAGAACAGACTCGAAGGCACACAACCACCATCAACACCAGACTCATATGTTGTTGTTGTTCTTAGGTGCCATCGAGTCAGAAACAACCCATAGCAACCTTATGCATGGCAGAATGAAACACTGCCCGATCCTGACCCAACCTCACTACTG